TATTAATTTTTTGTGTGCACTTATTGCACAACATAAAATGCATACAAATTATTACTAAATTATGTATAAAAAAGGTAATTTTACATAAGAAAATGTTATGATTTTCTTATTTTAATAATAATTAATTAATTTGTGCACATAAATTTTAACTTGGATTTTATACACTGACTTGCATTAACTTATTATTAATTCTACTAAACTCTGTAATAAAAGTAGAATTAATTTCAGAAAGATAACAAAAAATTTGTTGATGATTTAAGTACTATCTTTTTATTAAGCTTTTTATTCATTTCAATAAAAGTTTTTTCAATTTCTGTAGTAATAAATATATTAATTTTTATATTGAGTTTATTAGTAATTTTAGTATTATATGTAAACAATTCTTCAAAATTTTTGTTTAAAAAACAACTATATAGTTGCAATTCCTATGAAAATTACTGAATTAATAAAAAAAACAGCAAGTAAAACTAAAGTAGTATGCTTTCTAAAAAGTTGTATGATATTATTTTAGATATGATTAGATAAATTGATGTGTAATTTATTTTATTGAGAATTGAACTCATTAGTAGATCAAATCAGGTTTTTTTATAAATAGTAATGATTGATTTTTTTATAATATCATGCTAGGAAAAAGTTATACAAAGATGTGGATTTTACATAAAATATTTAACCTAAGTAATAGGGTTTCTTAAAATCAAATCAAATCAAATATTTAAGCAATTTGAATTTGATTTGATTTTTCAAATTGAATCGAATTGAATCAAATTGAACTCAATATTTAATTGAACCAATTTGAATCAATTTGAATTTAATCGAATCAAATCAAATTGAATATAATTTTTTTTAATTTTTATAATGATATATTAAAATAAAGTTATTTTAAAGTTTTAATTAATAAAATTATTAGTAATTGCGCTAAAAAATTTCAAAGATAATTTTTACAAAGTAGGTTTAGTAACAGATAATTTTTATTATTAAACTTAGTAAAATAACTTATAGTTTGTTTTACTTAGAAAACTTAGTAATAACCGCTATCGCAGCTTCAGTTTTACTAAGAAAATTTAGTAATAACTATCATCGCAGCTTCAGTTTTACTAAAAAAACTTAGTAATAACTGCCATTTAAACTGTAACAATTTTATTAATAAAAAACATTTCTGAAGATATAGACACATTTTTTTACTAGGGTTCTTAATAAAATAGCATTTCTAAAACTGTGGAAGCATTTTTTACTATGTTTTTTTTAGTAAAAAGATATTTCTAAAGCTGTAGAAGCACTTTTTGCGAAGCCTTTCTTAGTAAAAAATGCATTTCTAAAACCACAGAAGCACTTTTTGCTATGGTCTTCTTAGTAAAAAAGGATTTTTGAAGTCACAGAAGTGCTTTTTGCTATAGTTTTCTTAATAAAAAGTCATTTTTAAAGCTGCGAAGGCATTTTTTACTATAGTTTTATTAGAAAAAATCATTTCTCAAGCTTTGAAGATGACTTTACTATTAATTCGAATCAAATTAAATATTTGAATACTTGATTTGAATTTGATTAAATCAAGTTAAATATAAATATAAATTTATATTTGATTTGATTTTTAAATCAAAAATTTAAATATCAAATCGAATTGTAGAACCCTACTAAGTAATTAATATGTTATCATTAACATTAAAATCTTATGAATTTTAGAATCTATTATATCATTAATTTAATAAAAAAAATTGATATAAGGTCTTTACAATATAAAGGAGAGAAACTACTGGAAAATTCAATTTTACTTTATATATTAAATATGATTTTTAGGTTAAAATATGTTCAAATTTAGCATTAATTCATTTTTATTTTTCTGGTAGTTTCCCTTCCTTTCGATTGTAATAATTTCATATTATAAAAATAATGCTTTATTTTTTGATTTAATTATAAAATATAAAAATTATAATTAGCATTAAAAAATTTTTATGAATTATAGTTTTATATGAAACTAACTATAAACCTAAAACTACATTATCCTTAAAATGCCTAAATATGGATTTTACTAATTTATCCTAGTTTTTAATTAGCTAATATAATTATCTATTTTATTTATCACATATATAGGAAAGTAACAAATAAACATTATTATTCAAAAAAATTCTAAGTTTCTCAAATATTTAATAAAAATTGAAATATTACCAATATTATGCTAGTGATAAATCACTAAAGTTCTAACCATAATCCTAATTTTAACACTAACTAATATCAACTATAACAATCAATCAGAATCTAGAGGATAAATTAGTAAACCCTTAAATATAGAATTCATTATGTAGAATAAACATCTAATCCTATTGTCAGGAAAATTATTGATTATTGAGATCTTAGTATAATAGCTCATATTTATACTAATACTAAAAAATAGGATACTTAAAGTTAGTTTAGATATATAATTAAATATGCTAATTCTAATAAACTAAATAAAAATCTATTATTTATATGGAAATTTAGATTCTAATTGTATAATTTTTATTTTTGATTATCATGATTGATCTTTATATAAATCAATAATACCAGATATATTTTATATTATTAATTCATTATGTAATAAAAAAACCAGAAACATCAAGTGTTCATATATTAAAAATAACATAAAAAAATAAATGACTGCAATCTGTTTAATCTGTTTCTTTATTTGTTTGAAATGCACTTTCAAGTTGCATTAGATTCTAATAAATAACATATATTAATATTATTGAATTTTTAAAACACGAATCTTGAGTAGTAGACCTACCTAGACATATTCAATTTTAAGATCGTTTAGAGCTTTAATTGCATAGTCAACTCGACCAGTTGAATCTTTTTCTGAAATATCCTTCTGCAATACTATAAAAATATCTTGAAAAGTAAGTTTTTTTTTGTGATAGCAGTTAATACATGTAATATTGCTAAAATAAATTCATAATACATTCATTACCTTATTACATCAGTTATGATTTTTATACTATATAATTTTAGAATTATATTATCCTATACAATATGAAAAATTGTTGAAATAATTCCGATGGAAGGATTGAAATAATATTATTTTTTATATCAATTTTTGTGTTTATAATCACGTTGAATTGGTCTGAGTCGTTATATATGATATTTTCTAATTCTATGATAACAATTGATTTAAAAAGTATGATGATTTAAATATGGTAATTGCGTATAAAAAGGGGGGATTGATTAGAATACGTTTTCACATACGTGTAAAACACTAAAAAACTAATTTGCGTTTATAAATATATATTTTGAAATTGAAATAGGAAATAATAAATTAAAAGATGTATATACTTAACAATTTCTATCGGATGATGTGAATTCAAAAATAGATTGCGGGCACTAGCTATCTATTTTCGTGGGTTTCATTTAATTTTATTGAAAATAATTTTTTCACGAGAAAATTAAAGAAACATTAAAATATTAAATACGTTCAAAATCAACAACTGATATGCAACACGTGACATAAATCCACATTTTTTTTTTTTTTTTTTTTGAAAATATGGATGAGAAAATTAAAGAAACATTATAAAATAAATACGTCAAAATCATTACCACGCAACAACCGAAATTTGATATTCAAATTTTTTTTTCAAATGATATGCAACACTTGACATGAAAATCCACTTTAGACCTCTTTTTTTTTTGAAAATATTATTAAGGGACAAAGACGGCGCTAAGGCCTTTTAGTATCATTCCCAGATTGTTAATAAAAAGAAGAACATCCAAGCTAATAATGGAGGAGGAATGAAGTGTAAATCACATAAGAAGCCCATTAAAGTTTAATAATGAGACAAATTTTGTGGTCATTATGTAATTGTCAAATGATTGATAAACCCGAAATTACATAAGATAATAGAACAAACCTCACCCGAAATAACAAATGATGCATCCAAACTAGCCAATTATACATGATAATGTAATCATCCGAGAAACAATAATTTTCATCAATCTGACAATGAATGACCAATAATTTTTTGCATAAACGTTAACAATATTAATATTAGATCACCCACAAAATAAAAGAAACAAATTTGCTTTTTTTCTTTTAATTACCAAGAATATACATATCGGCGCATTGACTTGTAATACGCTTCAAGGATTTGTATTACTTCGTGTGCTGCGTCAATCTTGTTACCCATATAAAGAATGTTTTTATGGTACATCCAGTCATGTGATTCAGGCTGGTTAGAACAAAAAAAAAGGCGGCATCAAACCCTGTATAATTTGTAAAATAATTTGTCACAATATAAAAAGAGCATTTTAGATCCCTTTGATTGAAATTTGCTTCATTTTTTCCTTAAATCGGGTTGAATCTTTGATTGATAATTTTTTTTTTTGATCAATGGTTACATATGAAATTACCATTTAAGGAAACTTATTCGCCACGTTGATCACAATATATATTTGATGTTATTGATAACATTGATAAAAAGTATTCCCATAAAAAATGACCGATATTGCAGTTATAATAAATTAGTAATAAAGAAACGGCCTAACCAAAAACATAAAAGTACTGTAAATTATCAAACCCTTTAATTGTAGAACTTTCAAACTACTGTTTTAAAAAGACAATATAATAATGATTATATGAATATTCGAAATTAAGTTTCGAATAGTAGAACTAGGTAACAAATTTAACCGACTTTGTGATACGTACAATTGTTTATCTGCTTGTCAAGTATAAAAGTAAATGAACTTCTTAAAAAAAAATCTCGTTACTTTTGTACCGGTGTCATTGAATTTTTTTTTTATTTATTTATCGCCCCAACATTCATTTATAATATCTCTTTTATTCATCTTTTTTTTTTTATTTTTTTTTTAAAAATAAAAATTTTTTTTCCATAAAATTTCATTTACTCAAAAAAATCACTTAATATTGAATTGATAAAACGATACAGTAAATTATTTATTAAATAAAAAAATTAAATTCTAACGGGGATAACGAGAAAAATATTATTTAACAAATTCACGACAAAAAAAAAAAAAAATTCATGGCTCCAATAGTTTCTCCTGAAAATAATGAAAATAATAATTTCAACCTGCCAGTTATTATTAGCTTGGTGGTTGTGGGTGTTTTAATGATTTCTGTGGGTATAATAATTAATCGATGGTTGAAAAATAAGAAAAATGTTCTGGTAAGAATTAAAATTTTTTTTTTCGTTTCCTTTTTTTTTTAGGAAAAATAAATAAATCGATTATTAATTAACCACCTTTTGTAAATTTAGCCGCTAGAAAAATCAATGATGTCAAGAGGACCAACAAAGAAGTTTGATAGTATAACGCAATTAATAATACCAAGTCCAGCATTTAATAAAGAGACAACATTGCCAGTGTATCGAAAATCCGATACATGGGAAAGGTACCTCCAGATGATACAGACACCTGATAAGTTAAATGATGTTGTATTATCAATGAAAATCGATAATATCCACTCGAGAAATAACAGTAATAGCACTAGTAATAGTCTTTGAAAATTTTAACGTCATTAAAACGCATGTAAAAAATCAAATAATTATTAATTTATTTTTAAAATTTTCATCTTATGTGAAATTATTTATTATGACTAAATATTGGAACTTATTTTTTTAATCTAATGTAATATTAACGTATTGTATATCATCATTGTAATATGAATAAAAAACCGAAAATTCCTTAACGTATGATCACGTGACGAATTTGTCCATGTGAAAGTAGATTGAATGCATGTAGAAAAATCAAATAATAAATCAAATAATTAATTTTGATATCAAGCTTAATTTTTGTCCCAATTGAATTTATAATTGAATTAAAAATTTACATTGTTTCACGTTATGATACAAATTTTTGCCATATGTTCAATCCATGATCGGCAATGCATTTATTCATTTTGTGAGACGTGCACGTTTTGAACAAAGGTTTTAAATCATTCGCAAACCTTTTTGGAAACTTTGTCCCTATCTTTTTTTTATAAAAATAAATAAAAATAAGTAATTAATTAATTATTAATTAAATTGCTATAGAATATTGAAGGTTTTAATTGCATTCAAACGAAATAGAATGATGAAACTCGGCTGCTCATATATGAAACAAAAAATAAGAATAAATCTTCTGGAAAAATTTTTTTATTTAATTAATTATCGACCTAGTATTGCAGATAATTTCTCCAAAGTTTAACAAGAATTATGCTTATGTTAAAGCCGGCGGGTAAGATGGTCAAAATCCATTATCCAATCCAATGCAATACATGAATTAAATAAATTAAAATTAGTGTCAACATTCGAGTGTTTTTTTTTAAAAAAATAAATAATTAAATAAATAAAATAAAACATGTTTCGTATTAATTTTAAAATATTTTTAATTTAATAGTATTTAAAATATGTTCATCAATTCAAATATGTTGTCGAAAAAGGAATCTATCTGATATTGTTGAAACTCTAGAAATTGGTGATTTAGTAATTGGAAAAATTCATTAATAATTATATTAAATATTTAAATATATCAATTAAATCAACCAATTTAGGAAATTCATGCAACTTTACAAGTGTAATTGACAATGAAATTTAAAGGACACCATTGCTTATAAGTAAGAGAAGGATTTTTATAATTCTAATGAAATTTTATCGTCAATACAAATTAACGACATTCATCGTATTATAATAAAATTTTCCAAATGATCTTTTTTAAAATATAATGATACAGTACATAATTATGTCGTGCTTTTTTTTATTCCCATAAAAATACTTTTTTGTTTGGGAATTACAAACGCGTTGATCAACTTGTGTAACATGTACGTTAGAAATACTGGTTTTTATGTACCTGTATTAGTAGTTTTATACAAATCGTGAATTAGTGGTTATGGTTTCTCGAACATGTTCTAAGAATGTCATCGGATAGGAAAATTTATTTTTTAAGATTTTTTAGTATAACCTTTTAAAGATTAATTATTTGATTTGGGTATTTACTGATTTTTCATTTTTGATGAAAGCGACCTTTGATAGATCGATACATCGGGAACAATCAAACATCTCGGATACCTTATAGTCGTGGTATGGTAAATTGCATCTTGAATTTAGAGAACAATTTCTTGGCTATCGTTATGGCTTGTATTTTCATCATGATATCAAAGAATGTAATTAAAGCTAGTTTTCCATACCAACTAAAAATTCTTGAAAATCTAATCTATGTAATTAATTACATGGCTATATTTTTTTATTTTTTTGATACAATTAACGGTGTTGAAAATGCAATTCGACAAGTTTTAAAATCGTCGATGGAAAAAAAACCTGAATTGGTTGAACCTTTCCTCGTTAATGGAATGGAACTGAGGCATTTACTAGGGTTCACAAATTCTTATCATTAAAACATGTTTTGCTTTGCTTGTACTTTGGGCCTACATAAAAATTCTGAAATTGGAACAGTTCCAAGATGTAATGGAATTTGGGAGATAAATGAATGAAATTACAATTTGAAATATTAAGGAATCGTTGATCCTTTGATTACACAAAAAAAAACTTGTAGTCGTGAATTTAACGCCACCAAAAAAATAAAATTACATATTCTAAATAGCCTACTTAGCAACTTGTCTAATGTTCGGTATCATAACTGTGCTCTTATGTTTATTTTCTAAAATATAGTTTTTGAACTAATTAACCTTTTTTTTTAAAAAAAAAAAGGATATCTAGAAGAAAGACTGAATGAACGAAACTTATAGCGATCTTCATGGAAGTATTTAAAGTAATATCGTAATATCGATGAATTTTTGATCAATTAGGACAATATGGGAGCATTTCTAGTAAAATCACATTACGAGTCATACGATTTACTAGATTTACTATGCTTCATGACTTGATTTTACTGAAAATGTTCCCATATGTCTGTAGAAAGTAACGTATCATCAGCGATTTATGGCGTCAAGCTCTGTATATATTTAGAAAAAGATATTTTAATTAAAGCAATCTGGAGGAAAGTGGTCAAGCTAGACCAATAGAAAGCATTTTTGTATTGCAAACGAAACAAAATTTTCAATTTGTTATTTAAACTTGATTTGGCTTGAATTATGGTTTATAAATCATTGTTCAACCAGAACTTTAAAAGCTCTAAGAAAATTTTGATGATTAGAGAAACGAGAAACTCTAAATCGTTCAGTCCAAGAATTGAAGCATTAAGTGTAAGCATGGGTAGTGCTCCGAAGGGGTCGAGTTTCAGAGATACCCGAACCCGACCCGACCCGACTATAGTTTAACTCGGAACAACCCGTGTTTTACGGATAATAGTAATGCCGATATGGGTATAAAATTTTAAATTATTTATTGTATATGCTTAAAGAATGCTTTGCTGATGTAACTAGAAATAAAAAAGATACATTTCTCGTGTAGTACAAATTAGAATCATACGATAAATCACATAAGACCTAAGCAAACCCTAACTAATATCAATTACGGAAATTAGTAATTAATTAAAATATAAATATTACTTATTCCAGTAATCACATAGCATAATACAGTATATATTGTTAGTTCTGGTAGCAAGATTGTTACAAATTTGTACTAAAATCAATTGAAAATTCGGTAGTACACATGATGTAAGGATCACAGGCTTGTATACTTTATCCGTATTTCGAGTTCAAAAATGTGCGATTGTTGTGTGTTACACACACAATACAGCATCGAGATCGAACTTCAACCATCTCTATATATATATTACAAGGAACTGTTACAAAAGGTGGTGTTATGACAATCAATTCAAGAAAATAATTATTTTGTTATGATTATGGATACTAATTATCATCTTCAATATGTAGTTCTATTTTCTCGAAAAGTTTGAAAGATCAAGATTGATGTGAGAAATATTTTTTTCTACTAAAAAAAAAAAAAACCTGTTCTGATTCATGTGGTTCGATTTTCCTGTTTACAAACTTGCATTGTTGCCCTATAAATTCCCAATTCGAAATTCGAAATTAAATTTAATTCATTGAAACTTTCTTGATAAACAAAATGGTACAATATTATATTCCAAATATCGATGAATGCTCTTTTGATGAGTTTAATATTCAATATATTATTGAAAAACATTTTAAAACTGGAATGAATATAAATGAATTTTGGATTCAAACTTTCATTTATTATGTTCATTGGAAATTTCACATTTTTTTATTCGTTAAAGATGAGAAAGAGGAAGCAAATGGTTGTAAAATACAAGTAATGCATCATAGAATGTGTTAATCATTTCGATTAAAACATTTAATTTTTTTTTAATTAATTCTTTATTAAAAAAGGGCTATAGGGAATGTGGATTTTACGCATCATTAATCAGAGATGTCATTCTTAAGGGTCATACCTCGAAAGAGGATTCCTTCCTTCCAAACATTTTAATACATCGGTTCGTATTTTCTTAATTTACACTTTTACAAAATACAAAATCTTCCACTCATCTAAAATATTATGTCGCTAGATACCTATCAAGAGAAGAAATTATGAAAGAAGTCGGATACATTACCGACATTGAATCTTTTATCGAATATATGCAGGGTAGGAAACTAAGAGCCGAAACGGTCGCCGCTAAAGATATATCATGTATTTCTTGGGAAAACCGAGTGAAGCTTTGGCGTGACATATGGGATCGACGCAAAGAAGTTTGGGAAATGATTTATAAACGTAGCAACGAAGTAAAGTCGAAAGATCATGTTCCAGACACCGAAGACGCGTACCTTGGAATCACATCTATCAATCAAATTGGTGTATTCAATGGCTGGCAGATGACTTGCGATCTATTAATGATGAATATGATAAAACTTCAAAATTTTTATCATGCAAAAATTGGACCCGGTCCTAAAAAGGTTTTACTAAAAATGAATGTGAAAATTCCCCAATTTAATGACTTTGTTGATTTGGTCAATGAACATCTTAACAAGGAATTATTTAAAGATCATAAAAAATTAAGAGGATTAGATATTGATGATATCTTGTGTAGTTTTATCGGTAAAGTGACTTTATACGAGAAATCATTTAAATTTTTGAAAAAAGGTTATGTTATGAGATATGATGATATTTTTATCAAAAATGAATTTGAAAATGTCTCGAAAAGAATTCAAACGAAATTGAATGATAGGAAAAGGAAGTATGAAATGAGATATGATTAATTTGAATTTATTTTTATTTTAATTTTTTACTATTACAATTTTTTTTTTTTGTTTTCAATTTCGAAAGTCTTTTATTTCTTCCTTTTTTTTTTTAAATATAAATAAAGTATCATTTCGATAAACGTAATTTGTAATTAAGAAATTATACTATAATTTATTTTGTCATACAATGATATGTTGAAATAAATAATTTTTTAAAAAATGTATACATCAAAATTTGTTATTATTGAAATATAAATTTAATTAATTTTGTTAAAATCACTAACTTTTTATCGCATTTAATAAAGATACATTTTTGATTCATTTACAGTATTTAAATTAAAGAAATATACGTTTTGATACACACAATTACGCGTAAAAAAATACAGTTATTATATCTCTACATTTGTGATATCATTTTAATTTAAAAATAATAAATTTTTATGCGAATTTATAAATCATCGTGTTACTTAATTCTTTAGCTGTCATTAAAATTGAAGTTACTTTGTTAAAATTCTATATAAAGAAAGACAGTATGTCTTATAAGTAACACAAGATAAAAGAATTGCTAAAATTTCTGAAAACACAATGGAATGAATATTAAGATATGTACTACAACAAAAAATTGTTTATAAGGGTACATATTTTTATAAAAAAAAAATAAAAAAATATTTTACCTTTCACACTCTAAATATAATTGAACTTATTGTATTAACTAATTATCATTTCGGAAATTACCGTTAGCTGAACTTATGGCTAAACGTAAAATTCATCAGGAATCTAACGTTGACTTTAAACGATTTCAAAAAGTTTTTTCTAAAGAAAATAAATATATTACCAATTTTATTCGAAATGCACAACTAAAAGCCAAGAAGTTTTAGAATTGGTACCTTATGATAGACTAGCAGACGTTAATTACCTTACCAAAGGTGGATTTAGTACTATTTATAAAGCCATCTGGTTGGATGGACCATTTGTTTTTTGGGATACTTCGAGAAAACAAGGGATTAGGTCGAACAAAAAAATCGAAGTCATTCTTAAAAGTTTTAATAATTCAGCAAATTTAAATGAAGAATCTTTAAAAGAGGTATATATTCTTAATACAGATTTCATCTCCTTGATTAAAAATATTAATGATTAAATTTTAATTATTTACCATAGTGGAAGTATCATCATGATGGTAATATTTTAATAAACAATAATCCTAATAAATGTTGTATTAGCGATTTAGGATCATAAATTCACTACAATTAATAGTATTTTCGGTGTTTTACCGTACATGGCACCCGAAGTATTAAAAGGAAAACCTTATACACATGCGAGTGATATTTATAGTTTTTCTATGATAATGTGGGAAATTACAACAGGACTTCCACCATTTTATGACAAAGCACATGACTTTGAATTTATCTTGGATATTTGTTTAGGTGAACGTCCTAAAATTCCTAAAAATGTTCCAAGTAAATATATCGATTTAATGGAAAGGTGTTGGGACTCCAATCCATCAAACAGGCCAACTGCAGAAAAAGTTCAAAAGATTATTAATAGCTTTGATTTTTGTAAAGAAGATAAAGATTGTGCTGCAAACAAAGGAAATTTCCATATGTCGCAAACTTTAAATATTTCAGAGATGGTATCAAGAACCCAATGTCTATCAGCATTTCATAATAGTATTTATACCTACTATACATTGTACATTTGAACCATTGCGAACTACATTTTGGTGTGATTTGTGACTTGCCTTAAATTTAACGAATTATAATCAAGTAGGTACTAATTTTATTAGTAAGCGATTTAATCAAATTAAATCCCCACCCAACCCATTATTCAATTTACCATGTCTGATACCCAGTTAGTTAAATCTTAAATAGGATAAAATAAATTTTTTAAAAAAAAAACATTAGAGTGATTATATAGACTCGTTCAAACATAAATCGAGTATTTTTTTTTTTTTTACTTAAGATTTTTTAATAATAAAAAAAATATATTAATTTAAAAATAATGCTTACTTGCTTGAAAAGTTAAATTGGCATATCCTAATAATTGTTATTTCAAGAACAATTTTCAATTTTTCACTCATTAAACTTATAAATTGAGGCAATTACTGCGGCACTAAAAATGGACATAATTTATTTAGAAGTCGTGAGCAATATATATTAAATTACGATGCTCAACTGCTTGGTCTGTTTATTAAATTTTAAATGTGAGTATTGTTTAATCCGAACGTAGATGAGCAAGAACAATAAAAAAAATCTTTTTTTGATTAATTTTAACTAGATTGTCTTTTGAATGCTTTATCTGGTTCCGTCTTTTTTTTTAAAAAAAAAATTGGGTGTTGATCTGCCTGTAGCGGAACATTAATTAATAACTTAGAAAATCTTTTCGCTGTTTTAGAGGTTGGAACCGGTCTCTGAATCCTTAACCGGTTAATAACCGGTTAAAATATTCTTTAACCGGTTAATTAACCGGTTAAATATAACTTAGGCCGGAACTATAAATTTTGGCGGAGCTAGCGAAATATTTGTAATCACAAAACCTTAATTCTGGCCGAAATTAAAATTTCGGCCCGAGTTAAGATTAACCGGTTAAAGAAAATCTTTAACCGGATAAAAATTAACCGGTTCCAACCTCTACGCTGTTCGCCAAATAATTTAATTTCTTGACTTTGGGGATCATCGGATAACTTGTAAAAGGTACTGTCTATACTTTTGCATAATGTTTAACCAATACATGGAACCGTTTTGACACAGGCAAATTTATTGCCAGAAACCGGTCGTGCCCCAGAACCCGACCCGATGCAAGTAATTTTGGTGTACATATCTGATTCCAAATTTTTTTCTTATTTAAATGCTCGATTCTATCGAACATTTTTTTTTTCCTAAAAAATTACATTCATATTATAATCTTTTACATTAATAAGCCTTTTTACATTTCTGTGTACACCTTTTTCTACCATCTACCAATTCAAATACTTTAATCATGACAAAAAACTTTTTTATTATTCTTCTCGCAGCACTCTTTTTTACCATTTTAGTGGAAGCTGCTGGTATGATTCTTTGAATATTCTAAAAGAATTATTCCTTTTTTTTGCAAATTTACAAGGCTCTTAAAATTTACGAAAATTTCAATGATAATTCATTATAGAATTTAACTAAATATTTATTGTTATTATTTTACAGGTCGTAATAGTGGACTTGATATTGGATCAAGTTGTACTAGAGATAGGGAATGCAAGTCTCAAATTTGTCGTTCTCATATGATTTCGGGCAAAAATCAATGTCACAGTAGTGATGACCGTCCTTTTGCTGATTGTCTTGTGGATCAAGCGTGTGCTTCTGGAAAATGTAATAGAACGCATGGAATTTCTGTGGGCGAATGTGTCAATTGAAAATAAAATACTCGATCATAATTCGTTCAGTTTGTAAAATTAGATTTCATTATATCTAATTAAAGAAATGAAACAAATTTCTTTTGATCCATACCTATGGTCGGGATACGATTCTTTAGAATAAACTACACATAACCTTTGTTTTTATACACTTTTTTAAATTCATCTGATTTTATTTCAACATTTGGAATTAAATAATTTTAATAAAAGTTTTTTTTTTTTTTACATAAATTAAAAAAATATTTTTTTTTTATTGTGTCAGGTCACGTTATTTTTACAAAACAAAACAACTAATGTTTTATGAATCACCGCGTTCTGCGACCAAGTGACACAATCGAGATAACATAAAAAAAATTATATAAATATATATACATAATATATCATACTGTTCTTTTCGTTCAAAATACATCAGTCAGCTAAATGTATACCGCTATTTTAGGGAATTAAAAAACTATCGTATAAATTAAAATTATTTGAATTTTGAGAGTCAAGTATGTTTAGCTCTTTTCAAAAAAAAAAAAAATCTTTTATTTATTGGCTCTGTTCTTTTGATTCAGTTAAACGGATTTGGTGCAATGTCTGAAAAATCTCGTGAACTTGGAGTGGATTTTTCTATTCAATTACCTTCGAATTCAAACGAAATTGTAGAAGACTACAACAGAAATGTCGCTACTTCTTTCTCTATATCACGTTATCCCTAGAAAGATCATTATCTATTAATTATCGAACTCTGTAAATTATACACTTCAATCGATTGGTTGATAATAATTCGAAAAATTCAACAATAATATCTTTTTTCGTATTTTCTGCAGAATTCATTCAAGCTCGAAAATACCGAAAAAAAAAGATGATCATTGGTATTCTCTATTTCATATCCTGAAATTCACAATTTTTCGTGACTTACTTTTATTTCTCATTTTACAATAGATGATATCGCACAACTTAATTATCACACTCTTCTGGTCAACTTGATCTGCGAACGATTAGAATGATTAGAATGCAATAAAATCTTCGGTCTGAACTTCCGGACGGCCGCCTACCGTCTTCAATTAAATATAATAATAATAATGTAATCTTCCCGCCTAAAAACAATAAATTTTATAAAATCCTTGGCTAATTTCTTGGTGGATTCTGCAGTGCGCTTTGGTTTGCGGCCATTTATCATGATATTGTCGTATAAACCATTAGGCGAGCCAAACCAGCTCTAATAAACTTGCTTTGGGAATCGCTCTAGTAAGAACTTATAATTTTTTTTTAGTTCAAAATAAAAAATGTTTAGATTTCTAAATAATGGCTATGTAAAGATAATCGTAGTAATCGATTCTAATCAATGTTATTTATGGAGTAGCGATTTTTTGGCGGACAATCATAAAAATCATCTACTAAGAAAATATCATATCCAACTTCATATTCTTCAAGAGCAGGTAATTCTAATGAAAAGTGGTAATACATCATTCAAAAAGTTCCATTGCTTTTAAGTTCATTACAGTTCGATTATTTTGGAATTACGTATATCTTTTTTGTTTCATTTTTTGTTTCATCTTTTTTTTTTATTTCCAGAACGAACATTTTATTTATATTTTTCATTAGATACGCGATAAATGCTTTTTTAGCTTGGTAATTCGTTTTGTTTATTTTAAGCAATTTGATTTTTGTGCATAAAGATTCAATAAACGATATATTTTTCATCGAAACACTTTTTTTCTTTATATCAAGTAAGCTGATTTGCCATCCCGAAGATGATTAGGTATATATTTCATCAATATTATTATCAGGTAAAATTTTTTCTTCTTGAATGATCATTAACCTCTAATATTTGTTATTCCGTTATGATTTACTATGTTCGTAACTCGATTTTAATAGCATATATTAATCGATTTAATACTTTAAGTGCTTTATATGTAAACTTATTTGTTGTGTCACTTAATTCAGTTAATTAAAATTGGTTTTATTTATTCTTTAAGATTAAATGTTTTTAGCAATATAAATTTATTATTTATTTTAATTATTTTAATTCTACCATATTTACTGTATTTTGAGAATTCAAAATATTTATGTGACTATTTTAGGTTTATAAAGATTAATAAATTATTTGATCAATTTTTTATAAAGTAATAATAATTTATTGAATTAAAGGTTTTGAACTAATCTTTAAATATACTAGGGAACGGGATGCTAAGTCCGGAGCAAATGTAACGCAAGTAACCAATCACGTATCGATACAATATTGTAGCGACATACTGAGTCAATGCGTGTCTAGAAATATATAGTCCTTCGCGGACTAATTATTTATTATACTAATCATTTTTATAATCAAAAATTTCCTTTTCCTCTTCATTTAAAATTCTATCATAATGTTCAGTAAAATTTAATAATCTACTTGTATAATATGCTTGTGAATATGTTTTAATAATAGGTATATTAGTTTGTTCTTGCTTTAAAGATTTTTCTATGTCAAATTCACTATCATTTTTATTTTTAATCCAATCGCGAAAAATTTTAATAATTTCAAATGCATTTGGCCTTTTTAGTGGATCTTCATTCCAACATTTTTTCATTAAATTTATATAACATTGTGGAGCATTTTCAATAATTTCAGGGCGTTCACCATTACAAATGCTTAAATAAAGTTGACGATCATGTACCCTGTCTTTGAATGGAGGAATTCCAGATATAAATTCCCACATAATCATAGAAAAACTATATATATCACTTGCTGAAGTATAAGGTTTATATCTTAAAACTTCGGGTGCTATAAATGGTAAAACACCATAAATTTCATTCTTATTATAAGAAGATTCTACAGATCGACATAAGCCTAAATCACTAATATAAACAAGTGTACCACAATTTAAAATATTACCATCATGAAAATCTTGATGCACTAGTTTTAAATTATGGATTTCATTAAGTCCACTTATAATATCAATTAATAATAATAATTTATGATACCAATTATATTTAATTATCTTTGGTAAATTTTTTCTTAAATTACCATTATTTGCATATTCCATTATAATCATATAATCTAAAGTAATCGGATTATAAGTAAATCCTAATAAACGAATTAATTTTGATGAATTTTTATTACAATTATAATGATATTTCCACTATAAAAAAATTAAATTAGTTTAAAATATTATAATTAAATTAAACTAAAAAAAAAATAAAAATACCTCATTTAAAAATTCATTATTTAAATTTAAAGATTTATTAAGATTTTTAAGAGCTACCATTCTATTCTTATTTCTAATCCATTTATTTTTATAATAAGACCATTTAATAATAGGTCCATCTAACCAAATAGCTTTATATACAATACTAAATCCTCCTTTATCAAGAAATTCAATATTTTTAAGTTTATTATAAGGAATCCATTCTAGTGCTTGATTGATATGTTGTATATTTAATTGAGTTTCTTTAATAAAATTATCAATAAATATATTTTTACTACTCCAATTATTAAAGGCTAATTGAAATCGTTTAGTATCACAATTTTCACATCTAGTGAACATATAAATATGACAATTTAAACATAAATTATTATAATTCATGATTATTATATAATTTAATGTATCTGGATTTTGAGTAACTCCAAATAATTTATTATAATGATAATCAAACTTATATTTTTATTTAAAAAAATAAATAAAAATCAGTTTATAATAATTCTTATAGCTAATAAACTATTAATATCATACCTTATTTAAAAACTCATCTTTTAAATTAGATAAATTATTAAAACTTTTAAGAGCTACTATTTGGTTTTCATTTCTAATCCAATTTTTTTTATTAAAAGACCATTCCAAAATAGGTCCATCTAACCAAATGGCTTTATAGACTATATTAAATTTGCTTTGATCAAGATATTTAATATTATTAAGTCTATTGTAAGGAATCCATTCTAACATTACTTTCATATGTCTCTGAGTATTCAATTGAGTTTTTTGAATATAACTATCAATAAACTCATTTTTACTAGTCCAACTATGAAAGGATTGTTGAAATCGTTTAGTATCACATTTATTACATCTTATAAATATATATGTATAGCAATTAAAACATAAACTTTTATAGTCAATTACTATTATGTAATATAAAGTATTTGGATCCTGTGATAATCCATATAAATTTTTATAATGATAATAATACTTATACTTCTATTTAAATGAATTGGAAGTTAGTTTACAATAAATTAAGAATATAATTAATAATGATATCTAAACTATACCTCATTTAAAAATTCGTCTTTTATGTTTGAAATCTTGTTGAAATATTTAAGAACTACTTCTTTATTATAATTTCTAATCCATTTTTTTTCATCATAAGTCCATTTATGAATCGGTCCATCTAACCAGGTGGCTTTATACATGATATTAGGTATCTCTTCAGCAAGAAATTCAATATTATTAAGTCTATCATAAGGAATCCATTCTAATATAGTTATATTATTCTGAGCATTCAGTTGCGTTTCTTGAATAAAACTATCAATAAATTCATTTCCACTAGTCCAATAAAAAAAAATCTTCTGAAATCGTTCAGCGTTACATTTTTTACACCATTTGTTATAACCTGTATATGGCTGGTTGCATTCTAGACATTCGAATTGGGAAGCAACAACTTCACTATTTCCCGCTCTTTCAAATATAAAAAATTATATTCATTAACGTTAAGATAAACAAATATAGCTAATTTATTGGTACAGTACTTACTTATTTTCATTACTCATATTTATATATTTTACTCGATAAATCTTTTTTATTGAAAAAATATTTTATTTAAAATTCGCAAGGTGCAAATTTTGAAACTTAAAATACGCTAATTTTTATTATATTTTTTTTTTCTCGTGCAATGTAGGACAGAAATAACTTATAATTATGAAACAGATTAATTTTTTTTTTAAAAAAAAAATACTTTTTTTTTTGTGATTTTATTATAATAAAATTGACTTACAATTTAAATTATTAATTTCTTTAAAACTTTAAATAAAAAACAATTCGAAACTTTTCTAATGTATTCCTCACTCTAAGTATTACAATTTAGAAAAAACGTACGATTATTGCATTTCGTATCACTTTATCGTTGCTAAAAATAAAATTTTGTGATTAATAATTAATGTTGCACAATATTTCTTATTAGACGTAAAGTAAAATAAACACAACCGGATATTTCAGTTTTACAAACCAATAAACGGTGAAAATGATGATTTTAGAAATTTTGGACAAATTCACGTGAATAAAAGTATAAAAGTTAATATAAAAATTAGTCATATTCAGTGTTAGTTCATATAAGTAAACTTTTATTTAGTTTTATGGGGTGGAATTGTTTTTTAGTGCCCCATGCTATAATAATAACATATTATTTAAATTTTGTATTTTTTATTTTTTTTAATGTGCGGTAGTTTCGCTGAATATTTAAATTATTTATTTACTAAATCATTTTCTTTTATATAATTAGATTTTCCTAATCAATTATAAAAATGTAAAATAAAAAAGCCAGTAATTAGAAATTTATTCTTTACCTAAAGGCCAACGTGTAAAGTCAGTAAATCAATTATTTCTGTCTTCACTTTGTATTAATTTTCTTCATCAATTTTTTTTGGAATTTTCTATCCTATATAACCACTTAGGCCCAGAAATAAAATTACTCGAATTCGTTATGACTAATTTACCTCTAAATTCTTCATTAAATTCTTAAAAAGAACATCCAATGCTTTCATTGATGCCCAAGTATTTAAAGTAAATGTTCTGTTTAATAATTTAATCGCATCATGATGTTGTTCAGATATGATATGAAATGTTGATGATTGCGCCTTCTTTCTACCCGCATTCACTAGCGGATAATCCGTCACCAAATAAATTCTATAAACATCAATATCCTTCTGCAATTTGTTAATGTATTTGATAAACTTTTAACGCAAATCGACATCATTTTCGTTTACTGTTTTCCATTCTCCAATGAATTGTTATATAAGGTGTTAATTGATTTGTGGCATTGTTTGCCGCTTCAATGAGATGGTTAGCATAAGGTAAAACTTTGCCCTTTGATGGAAATAAGGGTGTGAGAATTTGATGCCTGATTAATAAAACTTCGTCATCTAAATCGTTAAATTTTTGATCAATATCTTATTATTATTTCTTTTTTTTCAAGCACCATTTGATCCAAAATTAATTGTTGTTTATTAATCATTAAATCATCTTTACGATTAAATGTGAAATCAAATTGATTAAAGCATTCACTTTCTAATTCTAAATGGTCTGATTTAGATTTCTATGTATCGTTGATTTCTTATCACGTTCTCGTTTTCACAAGAAATAATGATGGCAGAGTCTGGACTAGCTCGTAGAAAAATGGATTAAATCCATGGCGCAGTACATTATCGAACTTTATGCTTTATGATTTCGGCAATTGCATAATCGGTTTAGATCACCTGTCCGTTAACTTTGTGTTTCAGAAGGCAGTAAATAATCATCGATGAAAAATCACGTGCGCGTTCCGTTATGGTCACTTGCCAAGAAAGAATTTTGACATTTATATAGAATATTAAATAACAATATCAAACTATAAATATTGACGCAGTAAAATAACAGAAATTCTATGAATAAGTTCTATTATTTTAATAATGCTAATTATTACAGATGTATTCTACAGATTATCTAAAAAAGAAATTACAATATTTGAGAAAAAATAAAATCGCAAAAAAACCCCATGTCACATTGAACTAATTTTTTTAAAAATATATTTTAAAAGATATCACAAAGCTTTTTTAGTTCTTGAATATTATTTTCATCTACTGCAGTCAGCATTCCTTTCCGGAATGAACGATCATTTAGTTCATGATCCCAATAATTATTAATCTCTGCATTTGATTTCAAACTTTTATGTTTCCTCAATGGATTGAGCAGAACGTACATTATACGAACGAATGAATGTAAGTCGTCTGCTGATTGTGGATTGTAGGGTCCCATATCATTATTAAAAATGGCAGTTGAAGCATATGTGGATGTTCCCTCATAAATTACTTCGCCAGTAGGATCACGAACTGCCGACCCCCAATCAATAAGGATGAGTGAATTATTTTCAGTATTTAACATGATGTTCGATGGTCGTACATCTCGATGATAAATTTTCAATGAATGAATTTTTACTAAAACTTGTAAAAGTCCTCTAGCATGACTTGCCTGAAATCGTTTGTCAACTCGCTTACAAACTGGGTAAATAATAATATTTTTATCATCATGCGCGACATATTCTGGAATGTTCTGGATGTTTGAACCATTCAAAAATCTCAGCATTTCCACCTCACGTTCTAAGACATTTGGATCAGAAATTATTTTTATGACGGCTGGTCTATCATTCACCTGATCCTATATACATTTGCGAATGATCCTTCGCCTAAAAACTCCTCTAGACGTATTCCAATGAGCTTTGTACGAGTGTTAGAAATTTGTGACCGGAAGTTTACACTCCTAGATCCGAAAGCTCTTACATAATCTGATCCTCGAAGGATAAATGTATAAAAAAGTCGCAATCCTATCCTGAAGTTGGTTTCAAACTCCTGATACTTATTAATATTCCTATTATAGGACATCATATAAAAGTATGTTCCATCTGACAAAAATATTGCAAAAAGTTTGAGCAATGGTTGTTGTCGAGTGAGAACACGAAGGTAGTCCAAAAGTTGTCCCTTTTCTTCATTAGAGAAGCCAGTACTTCTCTTTAACTCCATAATCGTTTTAACTAGCATGGGAATACAAGCATTATCTGCAACATCTTCCGTCTTAAAAACGCTGAGGTCTGGCATTAGTCCGTTGAGATACCCTACATCATGTGTATCTTTGGCGACGAAATCACCCCATCTTGAGCCAAATTGAGACAACAAATTGTTGAACCATCTTTGAACTGCCGGTTCTGTTTGATGAGATTGTTGCGTAATTGGATTGTTTCGCAGGTGAGAAGCAACGTTATTGGGGAGTTCACTAAGGTAGGAATTAGTCTCAATAAGATAATATTCCTGATCAACATTTTCAAAGATAGTGTTTTTGTAAACGTTAGCACGCGTCACAGAGCCTGGAGTGTGTAGAATATGATATTAGTAAAAGAAAAATGTAACACCTTGCATTTTAACAATCAGTACCTCCTATCTCAAATTCTCCTAAAACAGGACCGCAATTCCTCGCTTGCTTAATTTGAATCAGCAAACCTATTTGTTTGAGTTTTCTTCCATAGTTCTTACAAGACCAGAAAATAAATCAGAAAATGTTGTGCTCATATCGCTAGTGCCTCCTGACAAGTTCTAGAACAATCTCCTGTGAGTATAACATATCAAAATTACAATAATTCACGAAAAAAAATACCAGTTGCCCAAGATCAAGCGTAAGGTTCTCCACGGAAGTAGATCAATGGGTGGCTATCAGAATAAAGAAAAGGGTTAAGCCAGGTCGCGTTCAATTGCATTGACAAAACTTATTACAACTTACATACCACCACCGGGTTGCTCTACGATAATGCGAATGTGTTTTTTGAGCAGGTTTAACGATAAGAAGCAGGAAAGAAAAGCATAAGAAAAAGTAAGTATTTGGTATTATTGGCAAATATGATACAGTGTGGGCAAGAATGTAACATACCAGGCGTGGATATTAAGGACTTCAGGTAACCCCACTTCTCATCATCCGTCACGTAGTCAAGTAAAAAGATACGACGACATTTATTTTTTCTACGTTTTCAGTGAAGTATTTGCACAAAGTGTCTTGTTCATTTAGACTGAAACCGATACGATTAATTTCCATTCTAAGGGTCGTTAGTGCATCCATTTTGGTATTACAAATTGCTTAATCAGAGAAAGGGTATATATATCGATATGAGAAATCGAATGTCGCACATATTGATCTGACTGATTTAATATAGATATCTGTCACGCCAGATTACAAAATCATATTTCATATAATAAAGTGCTAAACTTTGAGATCGTGATGCGCGTCTCAGTCTCGGGATTTCGTAGTTTTTACATATCAGATGATAGATGAGAAGAATCTTCACAGTACTTTATTAATGCATGCGAGTGATAAAAAAAATAAATACAAATGCTAAAGCAAACAGACTAACCCGCTGTACGTGATAAAGTTTCTATGCTTGTGCTAATGGGACATAATTGATAAGAACATATTTTTTTTAATTCATTTTTGCATCGCTTAAAAAAGACGCCCAGATTAGCCTCAGAATTTCGCCTGTCTAAGAATCGGGACCTTAACTGTGATACACAATATATTTATCTGCTAATTAAACATGTATTATAAGACTATTGATTATAGGATATCAAAACTTTTGGATGCTTGATCAACGAACTCCTTAATTTTTTGTATTCTTTCTGGAATAACAATTTCCGGTTTTTCGTCATACCATACTTCTAGAAGGAAAATTCCATTATCTTGACATATACATCGTTTTTGCCGATCACGATTAACAATGTCTTCGAGTTTTTTGACATCCTTATACTAGCTAGTGCTATGAAGCCGATGCTGAGCCCCTTGCACTTCCAATGCAATTCAATATTTTTGGAAGAAGACATCAAGCTCTAATCTATTCAAGAAAGGTGATACTCAATTATTGGCTCCTCATGAAAAATTTCGTTAGCTATCTGGACACATCTTGTTTGAAATTTGTGATTTTTCTTAGCTTCTCTTTCTGCCTGATCCTGCTCTAGTTTTAAAATTCTAGCTTCAAGCTCAGTGTTGTCTTCGATTTTAGCATCACGTCTGTTATTCTCTTTCATCATCTGCTTTATAAGCTCTGCATTTTTGACTTCAATCTCAGCAATCTTCTTTCTAAGTTCATGAATTTCAATATCCTTGGCTTCAAATTCAGCAAGCTTCTTTCTAAATTCAGAAATCTCAGAATTCTTGGTCTCAAGCTCAGCCTCAAGTTTGGTAATATATTGCTTTAATAGATCTATTTCAGTTTGCATATCTGTGTAATATAAACATTAGTATTCAAAATTGAAAATTCACATGATATTCTGACCAATGATCAGCAACTTTTGCCAAGAAAAAAAAGAGAAATTTTGGCCAACCGGTTAAGAATTTTGGGATTTGTTCCAATTTCTGCTTATTGAAAATTTTTTAAATTCCTTTTTACTCACTCATTCGAAAAGAGACAAACACTGTGCATTGATCAGCAAATTCTTTTGAGATAATGATCATTACTTTTAGTAAAAAGTTTAAAAATAAAATCATTTGTAGTATCAATCGTATCTATAAATATAGGAAGAGACATATTATTACTATGAACATCTTTATTATCTGATTCAGTTTCAGAGTCAGAGCTTGAAGATTCTAAATTAGAGCAGTATTCTTTATCAAAATTATTGATATGAATGTTTTGATTAAGCTAATTCATGGCTTTTTGCTAATATTTTCACATCTTTCCAAATCTAGAAATTTAAAATTGAAACATAAGCGAGCAATTTCTCTAATAGTCATACTGGTAATATTATAGTATTTGAGTTCGAGAAGCTAGAATCTTAGGCAAGAACGAATAACATTACAAATTGATAGTTCACTATATAAAAACAGCAACTTAGATCGAGATATTCCAATTTATGACAAGTATGAGCTAGCGCTTCAGTAATCTCATCATTAATATTATTATTACTGATTTCTATATGTCTTAAATTCAGAGATCTTTTAATAATGGCTATAATTAATATATCATTCCATAAAGCCATAGTACTACTAAAATCGAGATACTCTATATTAAAGTATCTTTGTATTAAAGTACTATCATCTTTAATATCTTCACGACTAAACACAATATCAAGTTTTCATGAATTTGAGTATGTGTTTAAGATGCAACTTATAGATCTATTTATGATCTAACGTGTTTCGGCAAAATAAAACTCTTGCAAATCATGATAATTTTCTGTGATTTCAAACAAAGATTTATCGCTAATATTATTGTAGTAAGAAATATTTAGATATTCTAAATTATAACATGTTCACACAATTGCATATAAATCTTTATCAGTTATTTAAGTATCTCACAAATTAATATATCTCAAATTAGGATATGATTTCACTATTACAAATAGTAATTTATCGCTAAAACCTATACTATCTTTGAAATCTAAATGAATTATATTCAGAAATGTTTTCATAATACTTTTTATTTTTTTATCTAAAAGTAAATGGTGAAAAGTAATTTCTAAATGAGTTGTATTTGAGACATAAGCTGGCTTATGCTTTTTACACAATATTATTACAAATCTTTTCTATCAAGTACGATCACTTATACAATAATTATAATTTTCTGAAAAATGATGCCTATATCTCAGGTCATTTCCTTTATCTCAATGTGTTTTCATAGAATAAAAGCATTGCATCTGTATCATAATTAGGATACAAATAGAGCAGGATACAGTGTCTTATCTACTGCTAGGAAACTAGGAAATATAGAATCCGCTTTAATAGTTCTGGTATAATAAAAATGCTTGAATACGTCATAAATAATTTACTCTGTATCTTTAATCGAAAAAAATAAATTATCTGGTCAGTATTCATATCTAAAACAAGTGATTTGCATATGTAGACTATGCTGATCGAAATGTTATTTATAGCAGATTCTGATGTTTGATACAGTATTTGGAATTTCAGATAAATTGGAACTTTCAGAAGAAGAGCTAGAAAAACACATCTGACTCTAGCCAATTTTTTTCAAATATCGGGTAGCGGTATCTGAATTAATATATTTTATTTTAAGATATAATTCAATTTCCTTGATGGTTATATTGAATCTATTACATTCGTAAATAACGAATTCTTGGATTCTCAGACAAGAATGAATAACATTCCAAATTGTTATTTCAGAAAATTCTTAGCAACTAGAAATATTCAAATATTCTAATTTATAGCATGAATTTAAGATTGCATATAAACCTTTATTAGTTATTAATCTATCACCATTATACCCTTCTAAGTTGAGGTACTTCAGATTGGGATATGATTCTGCTATTTGGTTCATTGTTTTATCAGTAAATCTCACACTATGATATAAATTTAAATAAACTATATTTGAAACAGGCCTACAATACTTTTAAATTTTTTATCTGAAAGATGTTAATCTAGAATTTCTAGATGAGTTTCATTTAAGTAATAAACTGGCTTCTGCTTCTCACATATTATTTTCATAAAAATTTTTTATGCATTACTCCTCTTTAGCTCAATGTGTTTTCATAAAATAGGAGTACTGCATCTATACCAAAGTTAGCAAACAAATAGAGTGGGTAGAGAAATTTAACTATTGATAAAAAATGTAAAATATGTTCTAGTAATTCCTATATATTAAAAACACTTGTATATGCTATAAATAATTTATATTATATGTTGTATCATCAAACGAAAAAATAAATTAGCTGAATAGTATTTGCAATTTTAGATAATATAAAACATCTAATTTAACTAAAATTTCAGATAACCCTTTGAAAGGATCTGAAGGTTCTATATAGGCAAACTGGATCTTTGTCTCCTGATTGAGGCCTTTGAAGAAATCTTTTTTTCATCTCTGCTTTACGTAAGTCCGAACCTGATAATGAAGTATATGCTTTATATTTCTTATATATCTCAAAAAATTCATTTTTTAATTGGACATCTTGAACTGATGTTAAGTTATCTTTACCTTTTTCAGGTTTCAATGCTGGTGAAGTTAGAGAAAGTGTTTGATCCAGCCAATTAAGTGTATCATTTCCTTTAGGAAACAGGTTATCTATTTTCATAATGGAACGTTTTTATAGTTATCATATTTTTAATCGAAAAAATAAATTGGCCGATTGCTATTCCAGACTATTACAAGTGCTTGTAAACATCCATAAAAACTTTAAACGTATTTTCAGATGATAATCCTCTGAGAAATTAATTTTTAAAAAGCCATTCTGGTTAGTTATTGCTTAAATTACACTCTTTCAATTTTGAATAATATTCCTTTACTGTATAATTGCCTTAAACTATTTTCCCAAATAAAAAATCCATTCTTTTGGATCATTCAAGATTCACCTCTCTTTTCCACACTTCATTCATATTGCAAGAATTTTTTAGATCTCGTTTTAATAAATTAACTGTATGCATTTATATTATTTGAATATTTTCAATCGAAAAAATCTTCTGAGCAAATGATCACTACTCTAGGTTATCTGTTATATAGGAAAAATCAGTCATAACTCATATCTGACTATCAGATAGTGTCAAAATGTAATTTACTTTTCAAATGGGATCACAAAATTATCTTTTAATAATAGTTTTAAACTACATATATCCAAAGTTATATCATTTTTTCGTAACTATGGCATTCCCAAGATTAAATCAGAAAAATAATCTAACCAATCTGATTCGACAACTATGAATTTAATGGGTATGCTTTTATACTTCTTGTCATCATTAATGGTAAAAAATAGATTAATCTTCCCTAATTTGGAATAAATTCTATTTACTCTAGAATTGATATCATCTTTTTCATATACCATTCCCATTTCATTAACATATTTTTCACTAACACAACATACATCAACGCCTGTATCAAGTACTACTTAAGTAAGATCAGTTTCTTCAGCTAAGCAATTTATAAGAACCATTTTTATTATTTCTTAAACCGTCTAGCGGGTAAATTCGCCTGCAGAAATTGGTTTTGATGAGCATTTGTATAATCACATGTGATTTTCTTAATAATACCCCCCTCCTAAGTAATAATAAAAGTGTATCACCTTGCTGATCAATCATCAAATTTAATCTTTTTTTAATGATAATCTAAAATCTCTTACAGTATTAACTTACCGATCGATCATTAAATTTAATCTTTTTTTAATGCCATGTCTTCTGCAGCAGGACCAAGTGTTTCAGCCCCAATTTCATTTCCTCTTGAAGAACATTTTGATGAAGAGGGAGAATATACATTACTTTTGACGTCCCATCAACATTTTGTTGAATCAGATTTTGAGGAGAATGAAGAGGAGGACACGAAAAGTACTTATAAGAGTAGAGGCAGACTAGCAAAAACTGTATAATTACCACCACCTCCTAACTTTGAACATTTATTCATCCAAAATCATTACACCGGACCAGGCATTTATTAATTTGCCGTTATGAAGCTGATTTTTCTAAACCTATCAACCTTTTTCTTCTTTTTTTTCCAAAATCTATATTAGACACAATAGTTGTTAATACAAATTTGTATGCATTAACAAAGGACGCTGACGCTGTTAGTAGAAAATGACAAAATATCGATAGTAAAGAGCTTATTATCTGAATAGCTCTGGTTATCTATCAAGGACTCTTTAAATTACCCTCACTTAATCAATATTGATATAAAGATTCAAAGTTTCCTCTTCATCATATTTTCAAACAAATGTCATTAAAACTATTTGAACAAATCAAGAGATATTTACATATCTCTTCTCCTACAGCCACGATTAAGGTTGCTAGACGAAATTAAGAGTTTAGACAGACGTCTAAATGGTAAAAGTAAAACTTGGTTAAATTATATTAAAACCTTATTAAAAAATCTGCGAAATTTGAAAAAAGGTAAAACTATATCAAAGCTTATAAAAATGGCGAAACTATATCAAACACTTAGTAAAAATTTAGGCGAAATTAAAGGTTTTACCATTTTGCAAATCCAAAATGAGTTTAGACAAGCAACCTTAGCCACGATTAACAATTATTTCAATAAACTGGAACCTTTACTTTCAAAAATTCGTGATGTTTCAAAATAACTTTACACACCAAATTCAAACATTTCAGTAGATGAAATGATGGTATGGTTTTCTAGGAGAAGCATTCATACTGTTAGAATAAAGAACAAACCAACTCCGGAAGGCTTTAAGATTTTATTTCTGTGCGAGTCTGGATACACATACACTTTCTTGTCTACTTCACTATCGCCAATGATGTAGAAAAAGTAAATGGTCTAAATCAAACTGGATGTCTTGTTCACTATCTTATTATGCAACTTCCGTATCAGCAATTTTCATACAATATATATATGGACAATTATTTCTCTAATGTCCCTCTTTTTCAGTATCTTTAACAAATAGGCATTGGTGCTTGTAGAACCGTTCGAAAAACAGCTTTCAGGTTTCCCAAAGAATTGAAGGTAGATAAAAATGTCAAACTTGATTGGACATTCATTCTGGTATTACAATAAATGGAGTACTAGCCATTTTTGGCAAGATAATAGACCGGTGATAATATTATCAACGATTTATGGTCTTGTTGGTAAAGAATAGGAAGTGGAACGAGAAAGATGATGACCAAGGGAAACTAGTACCAATACGACAAAAGAATATGCCTTTCACGATTTATTTCATATATTTTTTTTTTTTGTTTAATTCTTATTAAATTAATTTATTATTTTTTCCTTCTTGTTTTTCTTTTTTCTCTTCTTCCTTTTCTTCCACCTTCTTTTCTGCTTTCTCTTTGCCTTCTTTCTCCTTCCTTTTCATTTTTTCTCCTTTTTTTCCTTCATTCTTCTCATTTTTTTCCTTTCTTTCTTTCTGCCTTCTCTTTTTTTCCTCTTATTCCTTCTTTTTCTCTTATTTCTTTCCTTCTTTTCTTTTGTTTCCTTCATTTCCTTCTATCCTTCCTCCTTTTCTCCCTTTTCTTCTTTTATTCTTCCTTCTTTCTTTCTTTCTTTTATTCTTAAGATGCATGCAATATTTGGCTTTAAATCAAAAAAAGTTAT